CATGGCAATGCGGGTGCCTGTCCCTGGTCACCCTCAGACCTGTTTTGAAAGGACCCGTTGGCTCATGTCTGATCTGCACATGGGGCAGGCTTGGCAGGGGAAATGGGGAGCAGGTTAGGACCAGCAAGAAGCGTGGTCCTCACTGCTTCACCAAACACCTGGCCACAGGAGGAGGGGACATGTCCCCAAAGGCCTGACTTTATTAAGAAGGGCTCTGTGTGGCCCGGGGGAGCTGCTCTGCGTGCAGCGGTGCTGGGGCTCGTGCCCTGCCGGACCCAATACCTGGCATTCTTGTTGGCGCTTTATTAAGAAGGGCTCTGTGTGGCCGGGGATGCTGCTCTGCATGCAGCGGTGCCGGGGCTCGTGCCCTGCTGGACCCAATACCTGGCATTCTTGTTGGCATCTGCTCGCAGCATTTTCACAGCTACCAGCACGGGTTGGTTGGAAGTGGTGTCTAAGCCATCCAGGGCAAAGTCCTTCCCTGCAAACTTCTCCATCCCCTCCACTTCACAGAGATGAACCTGGAAGGAGGGAGCAGGCAGCACTTACCTCCCTGTTCAGCATCCCGCTTTGCCCAGTCCCTGCAGCCCAAATGCCCACAGCACCGTGCTGCCCGTCCTGCGGCCTCACACACCACTGGGCTGGCAAGAGCTGAGACGAGAGAGCGCCTGTGCCTGGCGCCTGCTCCCACGCACCTCGCCAAACTGGCCCTCTCCCAGCTTCTCCTTGAAGGTCAGCAGCTTCCTGGGGAACTCCTCAACAGCCACGTCCTTGCCGGAGAGCAGGTCCATGGTGAGGGCCGGCACCGAGTAGGTGTTGCCGCCCGTGACACCCTGCAGGTTCACGATGTCGGCCTCGGCGTAGTGCGGGACGCCCTCGGGGCTGCTGGCCTGGGCCGGCTTCACGAGGCCGCTGCAGCCTGTGGGGAGATGGTGGGGCCGGCTGTGGTGCGCGCACCCACTGCACCAGGGCCGGGCACCCTCCAGGCCCAGCGGTAAATCCTGCACTAAAGTAAATCCAGCTTTGGCCCCAGGAACGTATCAGGAACCGGGTTCCTTGGCAAGCCCTGTCTTAGCACAGCACCTCCTGCAGCCTCTTCGCTTGCAAGACGTGCACCCAAGGGCAGTGCAGGTCCTGCCCAACACAGGAGATGGAGAGGGGCTGCCCCAGCTATAGCCTCACTCACGGCTCAACCTTGCAGATGCCTCTCGACTTGCTATGGAAATGCAGAGCAGGACTGGGCTTTTCCCCAGCTTTGAGCAAAGGGAGGGAAAAGCAGCCACAACAGGACCTGTCCTCCTGAGGGACCCCCTCCTCACAGGACAGGAGGGGGTAGTTTCTACAGGAACACTGAGGTGGGTCAAAACTCCTTCTGACTAGAGCTCTGTGCCCATAAAGGTACCGACATGGATTGTGCCACTTGTGGGCAGCGAGGCTGGACCGTGCAGCACCCCGAGCCCGTGGCCGGGTGCTGCCCACTCCGCTCACAGACTGCAGCATTTGGCATTTCTCACCTGTGTCTTCATCCCCCGGCGTGAACTCAGGCAGCTTGCGTATGAGGCGCGAGGGCTCCTGGTAATCTGGGCCCAGGGGGAATATGCGGTCGTAGGTAGAGTTGGACTCCTGCTCACTGGACGAGGAGGAGCGGTTGTGGTTGAACATGCTGGACTCACTGGGCAGGGAAAGGCTGACGGTCATTTCATCGTCCAGCATCCTCCGAGAGGCCTGTGTGGTGGGGATGAGAGAGGAGAGAGAGCTGGATGAGGTCCCAGCGGTGCTGGTGGGACAGGGCTCCTGGGTGCCTCCAGCCTTCCCTCCGCTCAGAGCAGCTGTGTCCCAGCACCAGGTCCAGGCTCTCTGGCCATGTCCAGTCCCGAATTCCCCAGCTAAAGCCTCCCACCTCTCTAGTGCTGCAGGAAGGCTTGAGCAACCACAGTCTCCACTTGCCCCTTGCCAAGCACACGGGAAAACCCGCTGGGCAAAGAGCCCACAGGATGCCATGCCCAGCACTCCCAGGAGACCTGGCCGGCTGCCCCGCGCTTGCCCACCTTCTCCAGCATCTTCTGCCAGAACTGCCGCCACAGTATGATGACGATGATGGCCACCAGGATGAAGATGATTGCCACCAGGCACCCGATCAGGATGCGTGTGTTGCTGTCGTCTACCTTGAGTGTGGGGTCTGGCAGGAGGAGGGGAGAGCAAGAACTGGTGACGCTGGGGCATGGGGAGAGCAAGCGCCAGCTCCTGTTTCCGCACTGGCCAAGCAGACCCTCTCCTTCAAGCCCCCAAGCGCACTCCTGGCCAAGTGATGGAGTGACCTTCTTTGCCAAGTGCAGCAGGATCATATGGGCCTTACCGTATGTGGTGGGAGCTACAGGCACCTCCGGGGGGGCTGCCGAGTTGTTGTACATGGCTGCATCTGGCAAGGGAGAAGACAAGGTGCTCAGGGATGCCAGAACAGCCCCTGCCCCGCTCGCTGTCCAAAACCCCCCGTGCAGAAGGGAAGCAAGGCAAGGTCCGTCCCGCGGGGCCTCGCGGAGCAGCAAGCATGGATGGCACAGGGGCGCCGAAACCCCAAAAAGGCATGTGGGAGGAGAGCATCCTGCAGGGACCGACCCCTCCTGGGAGGGCCGCTGGTACCTGACTGGAAGGTGATCTCACTGAACATCATCCAGGTGTCAGCAAAGTAGTACTGGCACTTGATGGCACTGGCCATGCGATGGAGCAGGGGCACGGTGACAAATCGGGCGCTGGGGTTCACGTCGTCCAACACCAGCACCGAGGAGATGGTGTTGGGCTCCCACTCGCTGGTGTCAGAGCGGAAGTAGCATTGCACCTCCTTGAAGATCTTCACCCCCTTGGCGAACATGTTGTTGCAGTGCACCTGTGGGGCAGCCCATGAGCACGGCCCCCGTGCACAGCATCGGGGATGGGGAGGCTGCCTGCGGGGCACAGACCTTCATGGTGGTGAAGTTCCTGATCCGGTCAAACTCAAATGTGATCTCGACGTAGCCACCGGTGGTGCTCTCGTTGCGCCAACCAACGTAGTCGTAGCCCGGCCACACGTGGTACTCGTGGGTCTGCGTGAAGTCGTCCAGGCCCGACACCCCGTCCGTCAGCTGGCCGAGTCCTTCTGTCATGCTGGCACGTACGAGGCAGGAAAAGGAAGGTGACTCTTGTGTGAATCCCAGAAACGCGCTGGAGCAGGACATGTCTCTTCCCCTTTGGGGAGACCTCCAAGTATTTGCCCTGCTGAGGACCTCCCTGTCTTGCAAATGTGGAAAACAAGCCTTTCCAGGCACAACCCTGTGCCCTCCTGCCTCAGTTGTGCTGCAAGTGCAGAGCAGAGAGCAGACACGACACCATCCACAGAGCGCCCACGCGCACGAGCCCCAGGGCCTCACCTGTACCCAAACGCTCCGTCGTACACAGAGTCATTCAGGTAGATGATGGTGCCTCCAGGAAGGACGAGCTGCTGCCCAGCCGGGGCATTGTAGGACACCAGCCCATCTGCGGGGAAGGGAGCGTGAGCAGCCCCTCTCTCTGGAGACGCCATTCCCAAGAGGGATCGCGGCTGACCGGCACGGCCAGCCCGGCTGTCGGCCCTGCCGCCTCCCAGTGGGACAGACAGGCACAAAAACGGTCTGTCCCAGAGCCACGCTGGTGCCACAGGGAAGGATGCCGGCCACGCCACCCACCGAGCCACACGCATCCATACAGCTCCACGCGCAGGCACACGTTCATGGAGTGGTCGGTGACAGGGATGAAGCGGACAAAGCGCGCGATGAGGGGTGGCTCCAGGTCCTTGAGGACGATGTCGTACGGGTTGGTGTTTCCATCCAGGACCTGAGGAGAGAGACACGCAGTTGGGGTGGGAAGGTGCTTGGGGAGGGGGACTCTTGGGGTTTGCATGGACCTTGGCTGGGTGCCACCCTTGCGTGCGTGGGGCCACTGAAGGGATCACAAGCACGACTCCAGGCAGGAAGAACCTCCATCCCCACCTCACCTGCTTCCCATGCCGGTTCCTCCAGGAGATCCATCGAGTGCCGTCCCGGCTGTAGTTGATCTTATACATGGGGGCAAACTCGTTCCCGTGGCCGCCTGCATGGCGCCCCTGGGTGCCCACCAGTGTGATGAAGTGCAGAGCATGCAGGTCGATCTGCAGGAACTCCTTGAGGTCATCGGGCTCCACTGGGATCTCGGGGCACCAGGCGCCATCGCCGTCCTCTGAGTCCAGCCTGGAAACACCACAGGGAGAGCAGTGGAGCAGCTCGCACATGGGAAAACAGGGAAAA